GACTATTTCAGTAACCTTCTGTTTGCCCTACTTCTCCTCTTGTTTTCCTGCTGTCTTATCTCAGCACAACAGAGTACTGTAATCTTCTCAAAATAAAGTCAAATAATATCACTTTTCTGTATAAAACACTCCAGTGGCTTCCCATCTCATTTAGAATAGAAACAAAGTCCTCATGTTGGCCTACAAGGACCTGCATGATTTGTCCCTCATCACCTGGGGGTCTGATATTACCCCTGCTCTTCTCTTTCACTCCACTTCAGCTAAACTTGGCCTCCAAGCTATTTCTCAAACATGCTTCTGCTTCAGAGCATTTGCATTTGGTGTTTCCTCTACTTGGACAGTTTCTTCTCAGAGACCTGCATGACTTATTCCTTCAACTTATTCAGGTCTTTGCTCATATGTCACTTAGTGACACTTTCTTTAACCACCCTATTTTAAAATTTATTTAAAATTTTATTTAATTTACGTGTAGTCAGGCATGGTGGCTTATGCCTGTAATCCCAGCACTTTGGGAGGCTGAGGTGGGAGGATCACTTGAGGTCAGTTCAAAAACATCCTGGTTAACATAGTGAGACCCCATCTCTAAAAAACAAAAATAAAATAAAATATTAAAATGTTATTTAATTTAAAATTGTAACCCCTGGCTTTGCACTCTCTGCCCACTCTTAGTGGATTTCTTTATAGCATGTTTTTTTTCCATTTGATACACAATATATTTCATTTTTTGAAAAATTCTGTCTCTTCCTCCCCTCCCCATTTGGAATGTAAGCAGGAATTTTTGTTGTTCTTGTTCTCTGCTGTATCTCAGTTCCTCTATCAAGCTTATATGAGATAAATGGCATTTAGGAAAGAAAGTCTAAGGTATGATCCTCAAACTTCGGGCATCAGAAATCTCCTTGAGAACTTAAATACATAGATTCCTGAGCCCCATCTCAGATTGAGATAAAAGATCTTGTATGCTAAGTGAAGCAGTTTGGATTTTATTTTCAAAGCGTTTGAGGAAAAGGAAGTGGTATTGACTACAAAGGTGTAAGATAACTTTTGAGGGTGATAAAAATCTTGATTGGGGTGGTATTTGTACTACTGAATACAGTTTTCAGGGCTTATAGAACTATATGCCCAAAAGGGATAAATTTTACTTTATGGAAAATAGACCACAATAAACCTGTCATTTTTAAAAACTCTTTATAAAGTATGTGTAATTTTTTTTTTTTTTGAAGTTAGAGGAAAATGAGACTCGGAAAGGTTAAGAGACTTGTCTGTAATCTCACAGTTGGTATGTGACAGTTCCAGAATTTGAACCTAAATCTGCCTAATTGTAGAGTCTGTGATTTTCCTACTCATTTTAGATAGTTCCTGAAACTATTAAGTATATAGATTCTGTTGTAAAGGGCCAACCTTCCCTTAGCAGCTGGGAACGCTATCTGTCCTTAAACAGATCCCCAAAAGTTGAGATCATATTCTTATTCCAAATTTTGAGCTCCTGGCAGACCTCATTTCTGTCAGTCATTAGTTGGGATTGGAATTGATGCTGTTATAGAATGCTGCCTCAGGCATGATCATCTTCTGTGGCAGTGGCCTTCATTTTGGAGCAGCAGGAGACCAGTTTCAAAGCTGATGAGTTTCTTTGATTATGAAAAGCAATTTTGTACTTTGTCCAATCAACAGCAGAGTGTCTTCCCAGTAGGAGAGTGCTCAGATGTTTACAGTTGTGCTGCTTAGCACTTGTCTTAGTCCTTTTTGTGCTGCTATAGCCAAATACCACAGACTGGATGATTTATAACAAACAAATTTATTGGCTCAGTTTTGGAGGCTGGGAATTCCAAGATCAAGGTGCGAGCATCTGCCGGGGCCTTCTTGCTGCATCATCTTGTGGTGAAAGAGGGAAGGGCAAAAAGACCATGAGACAGCTGGGCGCAGTGTGTCATGTCTGTAATCCCAGCATTTTGGGAGGCAGAGGCAAGAGGATTGCCTGAGTCCAGGAGTTTGAGGCCAGCCTTGGCAATTTGGCAAGACCTTGTCTCTACAAGAAATCAAAAAGCCTGGGGGTGGTGGTGTATGCCTGTGGTTCTACTTGGAAGGCTGACATGGAAGGATCACCTGAGCCCAGCAGGTCAAGGCATTGGTAGCTGTGAGCATGCCACTGCAGTCTAGCCTGGGAGATAGAGTGAAACTCCAACTCAAAAAAAAAAAAGAAAGAAAAAAAAGAAAAAGAAAATGAGAGAGAGCAAGAAGGGGCTGAACTTGTCCTTTTATAAGCAACCCACTCCCACCATAATAAACCCACTCCTGCAGTGTCATTAGTCATTCAGGAGGGCAGATCCCTTATGGCCTAATCACTTCTTAAAAGATCCCACCTCTTAATTACTGTTAAAATGGTAATTAAGGCCAGGCTGGGTGGCTCAGCCTGTAATCCCAAGCACTTTGGAAGGCCAAGATGAGTGTGGATTGCCTGAGTTCGTGGGTTCGAGACTAGTCTGGGCAACTTGACGAGACCTCATCTCTACAATAAATCAAAAATTAGCTGGGCACGGTAGCACATGCCAGTAGTCTGATTACTTGGAAGGCTGAAGTGGAAGGATCGCCAGAACTCAGCAGGTTGACACTGGAGTGGCTGTGAGCATGCCACTGAACTCCAGCCTGGACGATGGAGTGAGATTCCAACTAAAAAAAAAAAATGGTAATTAAGTTTTCAACACGTGATTTTTGGGGGACGGATTCAAACTATAGCAGCCCTTAAACAGTCTTCCTCATCCTGATGTGTTATGCAGAGAACTGGTTGGGTAGAGGGGAGATCCAATGCAGGAACGTGTACAAGCAGTCTTTTGTGTTTTTGTTACATCAGCACCATTGTCACATCATCATTGTTTACATCTGCATGTCACCTTATAGTTTGCAACCTCTTTTAATATCTCTGATTTCTCTTAATTATCTTAGTACTCTGTGAGAAGAGTGCTTATATTTAGAAAGAGAATGTTACTTGTATATTTGTAGATAACTCTGACTGTGGGAATATTTTTTCCTTAAGTTGAACTGAAATATATATACCTCCAATCATCCTTAGATTGTTCTAGTTTCAGTTTGTCGGCTGATGATAGTTTTATCTAGCTTGTTGCCCTGTGGTGGTTTACTAGGGCTGCACATTGGGAACATTTTAGAAAGTTCTGTCCTCTGAAATTGGCTAATGGCATTTTCCTTTTGCCTGTCTGATATCTCCAGCGTCCCCTCTTTGGGATCCCACCTTTTCTCCACCTGGCATTCCAGAACCCTGGACAGACTAATTCATCGCAGAGCAGTTGTCATCAAGCCAGCTGTTCACTGCCTGCCTTCAACATTTGGTCTGTTTCCTATCCTGAGGTGCTACAGGAGAAGTTAATGACCTAAACAATTGTCCATCTACCATGTGAACCTAGATAGGATTTTTGTTTGATTTTTATGAAGTGTAAATAATATATCTGGAGACACATTTTCAAACATGGGTTGGCCTATATCTAAGAAATGGCTCCTTCCTAAACAAGGTGGGACAAATTGCCTGGCTATAGAGCTTAATGACAGATTTTCCATGAATCAGAATGGAGAATGTGCTTCATTACGATAATTGGCAAGAGCACTTGTGCAGGTGATACTTATTGCACACAAATTTCCAAATTTATTTATTTCCCTTGAATGAGTTTGGCGAGAAATCATGGCGGTGTTTCCTTGTTTGCATTAAAGTGATCAGTGGCAACAAATTCCCTCTTTTAAAAAAAAAAAAAAAAAAAGCCCCTGGTAACTGGTGTCTTGTCCTCTGTAGGTGTAGGGGACAGGTGAGATACTGCTGCTCTTTATTCCAGTAGTCTGTGGGCTCATCACCAGGCACCAGACTCTATCAGAAAACTGTAGAAGCACATCCTTCTCTAGCTCTTGGACTAGTAATATTAAAATTAGAAAAGATCTCAGAGATCTTAAGCTACTTCATTTATATCAGGACTTTTTTTTTTTTTTTTAAGTCAGAATCTTACTTTGTTGCCCAAGCTGGAGTGCAGTGGCATAGTCATGGCTCACCACTGCCTCAGCCTTCTGGGCTCAGGCATTCCTTCCATCTCATCCTCCCGAGTAGCTGGGACTACAGGTGCATGCCGCCATGCCTGGCTCATGTAAAAAAAAATTTTGTAGAAACAAGTTCTCTCCCCTTGCCTCCTCCCATCTAGCCTACCACCATGGCAGCAATCATGTGACTAACCCACCCATCTACCTGCTGTCTATCACCTCACATCAGTACCTGCACTTACCTGCCCCTTCATGATGACATGGAGCAGACCACCTCCCAATTACCATAATGACTTTTCCCTATCCAAGGGGAAATGCCATTGCCTCACTAGACTCTGATGTGGCCTTGTGCTCTTTGAGCTATGGCCGTTGCCATGTTTCCTGGTTTTGGCCCTCTTCCCTACATTGGGGAGGTGAATTTCCTCTTTCGTTCTCTCTCTCTAATTTACTTTTTAAATAAATGATATTTTCTAATCTTAAAAAAAAGAAAGAAAGAAGCTCTCACTATGTTGCCTAGAGTGGTCTTGAACTCCTGGGCTCAAGCGTCCTCCTGTGCCATCCTCCTAAAGTGCTGGGATTACAGATGTGAGCCATTGTGGTGAGCTCTATATCAGGACATTGAATTTCCAGAGAAGGAAAGTGATTTGACCAGTGCCACCCAGTACACTAGTGCCAGAGCTGTCTGTGGGATAGTGGGACTAATATTAAGCTAAGAACCAGACAGAATGCCTGGGTTCATATTAGGCATATTATATTACTTTTCCTCTCCTTAGTATCTTCATCTGTAAAAATGGGAAAAGTGCCTGGCATGGGAAAAGGGCCAAGTACAAACAAATGGGCTTTTTGTGTAGTCTTATTTCTGCTATATTATGATGCTTTCCTTTGAGCATAACCTGAAGATTATAGAGGAACTGGCATCAGGGAGAATGAGTACTCAATAATCTATGCTGTTTTCTTTGTTTTCTCTGTAGGATCCTCGGTCTTCCATAATGAACCCTGTTTACAGCCCCGTGCAGCCTGGGGCTCCTTATGGCAACCCTAAGAACATGGCCTACACAGGTGAGTGGTGTGAGAATGATTCTCATTTTGAGAAATGGTGGTTAAGAATGTTACCAGATAACTTGCTGAATGACTTTTTGGTGTATGCTACACCAAAAGTATGCTTGTGGAGGTGTATACTATACATTCAAAAGTCCTGGTAAATTTGGGAACTTGGAGAAGATATATCTGAGGTCCAGCAGGGATGGAAAAGACATTTTTGAGATTAAGGACACTGAATTTTCAACTAGTGAGAAGGAAAGGAACTACCATTATTTACTGAATACTTACCATGGGTCTGACCTGTGCTGGGCACTTTCCCATACCTTATTTCACTTTAACCTTAAAGCAGTTCTACATAGTATACCTCATATCACCATTTCACAGATGACAAAATCATAATCACATAAGAGGCCACAAAACAAAACAGAATTAGTTATTTGAACCCATGTCTGATGATTCTGAAGGCTGATCTTTTTCCTGAACTGAATGCCCAGCTGTAGCCTACTTCTCCACCTTTATGTGTTTTCCCACTATCTGGAATGCCATTGTCCTCTGAAAGTTTTACCTTATTCCTTAAGAACTCAACTCTGAATTTGCACTGTGCTTTTCTGGGAAGCATTCTCTCCCTTACTTGAATTTAGGCATTTCTAACCTTCCAGAGCCTCAGTGTTCTCATGTATAAAATGAGAGCAACAGTGTTACCCTGTTTCATAGGGCTGTAAGAATTACATGAGTTAGTATGAATCACTCGGCAAATGATACCCGGCACAAAGTGAGTCCTTAGTAATGGTTATTATTATTTACAAATAAATGTAAGGTAAATTGGATGTATGGCATTGGAGGTTAATGAGGTAATGTATGTAAGTTGTCTGACATAGTGTTGAGCACATCATAAGCCCTTCAAAAATATAAGTGAATATAAATCAAGGTGGGCCTAACAGTATAAACAAACACATGAAGGTAAGAAGGAATGATCAGTTCTTGATCATACAGGGTATAGGTATTACTTGAGCTTAGCTGGAGTAAACAGTAGAAAATGGGGAGAAGTGGGAAAGGAGGATCAAAAAGTAGATTAAAGTCTTTGTGGCAGGTTTAGGAGTAGGGGTAGGGGGGACTTTTGCCCCAGAAGTCATTGGCTCTGAGTAGAAGATGTGGAATATACCAGTTTCTCCTTGTGACTACTCCTTATGCACTTTTGTATGTATGCTGTATAGCTTCCTAAAACTGAGAGCAGAGGGATCTCAGAGAACCCACTGTCTGGTTGTTTCCAAACTTTGTCTGTAAGAATTTCAGGAGAGTGTTTCACAGAGTCCTCAAATATTTGATTTGATTATTTAAAAATATTGGGTGTCTGGTTGTTTCCAAACTTTGTAAGAATTTCAGGAGAGTGTTTCACAGAGTCCTCAAATATTTGATTTGATTATTTAAAAATATTGGGAACTGGCTGGGCTCAGTGGCTTAGCCTGTAATTCCAGCACTTTGGGAGGCCGAGGTGAGTGAATTGCCTGAGCCCATGGGTTCGAGACCAGCCTGGGCAACTTGGCAAGACCTCGTCTCTACAATAAATAAAAAAATTAGCTGGGCGTGGCAGCACACACCTGTAGTTTCATCTACTTGGAAGGCTGAGATGGAAGTATCGCTGGATCCCAGCAGGCTGGCACTGGAGTGGCTGTGAGTGTACCACTGCACTCCAGCCTGGGTGATGGAGTGAGACTCCAACACACACACACACACACACACACACACACACACACACACACACACACACACAAAATTGGGAACTATTTTTCAGGTTACCTTTTCTTCTGCATTACTGGTGATGGAAGATCCAAGTGAGATAATTTGTAAATAAATACTAAATATAGTGCCTTAGAGTAAACATTTGTTATCAGTAACAGTAACGGTTATGTTAAAAAGTATAAATTACCATTTGGCAAGAACAAGTACTATACATAATAATTATAATCTTATTCATAAACCTTATAGCATTTTTCTTTTACAGCTAAGTAAACTATGGTAGGTCATGTGTCTTGGCCAATGTACATTAGCTTCTAAGGGATGAGAAAAGATTTGAATTCAGGTCTTTATGACATTCAAGTACATGTGCTTTCTGTTATAGCAAGCTCGTTTATTTTAAAATATGTGCTTCCTTTGTTGTTCCCAGTGATAAATTAAGGCTGAGGGTTGTCTTTTGAGTTTCTAGGACTAGGACATTTTCCCTTTGAGAAACTAAAAGCCTGTTCCTGACCAGCAGTTTGAGGTTGCTTTGAGGGGACAAAAGTGGAGGGAGTCAAGTCCGTTGTGGTATCATCTGCTTCAGAGGCAGTGGGATGGTGACCATTGAGGGGTCAGAAGCACTCCTGATATGAAATTCTCTCTGAAATCTTAAGATGGAAAATTAGATATAGTTTTGTGATACAGTGTAACCAACATTCTAGCTAGTTAGCAATATTCTTTCTCTTTCTCCCCTTTTAAAAGCTCTTTTACTTAGATTGACTCTGTGCCAAACACTGAACTTGGTATGTTATAAACAGTATCTCTTTTTACACTTGCAGCCACCCTATAATGTGGTTATAACTAGCTCCTTGTACATCTTGGCAAAGTGAATTTAGGGATGTAATATGCCATATACTTAAAAATGTTTAAGCATAGATGGTGTTGTGAACTGCATGTTTGTGTCTCTCCAAAATATATATGTTAAAGCCCTAACTTCTTGTGGGATGGTAATTGAAGTTGGAACCATCCATCTTCAATTGTAGGTTTAGATGAGGCCATGAGGGTGGGGCCTTTATAATGGATTAGTGCACTTATAAGAAGAGGAAAAGACACCTGAGCTCTTTCTGCTATGTGAGGACACAGCAAGGAGGTAACCATCTGCGTTCCAGGAAGAGATCCCTCACTAGAACCCAACCATGCTGGCACCCTGATCTTGGACTTCCAGTCTTTGAACTGTGAGAAATAAATGGCTGCGGTGGTGGGGAGCGGCCACTGCACTCCAGTCTGGGCGACAGAGTGAGACTCCAACTCAAAAAAAAAAAAAAAAGTCTGTTTTTTTCAGCTACCCCTTCTATGCTATTTTGTTGTGGCAGCCCAAGCTAAGACAGATAATAAGAACACATGAATATACTTTACCTAGATTCACCATGACAATGGGCTCTTTATAGACTGGGGCCTTTCATTCTCTGACGGCTTTTTTTTTCCTTCTTTTTTCTTTTTTGAGTTGGAGTCTTACTCTGTTGCCCTGGCTGGAGTGCAGTATAGCACGCTTATGGCCACTGCTTATGGCCACTACAGCCTTGACCTGCTGGGCTTAGGTGATCCTTCCACCTCAGCCTTCCAGGTAGCTAGAACTACAGGCGCACACCACCATGCCTGGCTAATTTTTTGATTTATTGTAAAGGTGAGATCTTGCCAAGTTGTCCAGGCTGCTCTCAAATCCCTGGGCTAAGGTAATCCTTTTACCTCTACCTCCCAAAGTGCTGGGATTACAGGCGCGAGCCACCACACCCAGCTCTCTGAAGGCTTTTTTTTTTTTATCAATATTTTTTATTATGATATTGTGGGGTACAGTTAAGGGTTAGGTATACAAATATGTTTCATTCAGGCACCCTGTTGATAAGAGGTGTTTCCCCGTCCCCAGACAGATATTTGCTACCGTTAATCCTATCTCCCTTCCCCCCCTCCATAGTTTCCCACTACTGTCAGTCATTTTCTTATAGTATTACATTGGATGTTCAAGGTCCATTATATGAGTGCTCTGAAGGCTTTATAAAGGTTTCTTTGCTAGAATTTTGGAATGTAGTCAAGACCTAGACATTCTTCTCTTTTCTTTCCTTTTCTCTTCTTAGAATATTCTAATGATATCAGTGTCAAAGCATCACCCAGGGGTCTGGTATTGTTCTAGAAAGAGAACAAGTTTTGGAATGTATTGATCTAGGCTGAAATCTGGGATCTGTCACTAATTAGCCATGGGATCTTGGTTGAGTTATTTAAGTTTTCTGAATCTCCGTTTCCTCAACTGTAAAATGGGATAATGACATGTACTGATGATTGGTTCGCAGTTCAATAGAAATGTGTATAAGACTTCTGGCGTTGTGCCTGGCTCATAGTTGAAACACAGTTAATGGTTGTTATAATGCACAGCAATGATTATATCTCTATAGGGAAAAGAATATGGGCTATATAGAATATATATATATACATATATGTATAGGTGTGTGTTTGTGAAGAGAGAGAGAAGGAGGGAAGGAGGGAGACACACTTAGATTATAGCCCCAGTTCTGCCATTTAAGAACTATGTGACATCAGATAAGTTATCAGACTTGATGGGCCTCTGTCATCTGCAAAAAATTATTATGAAAAAGGTTTAGGAATGCCCTCTTCACAAATCAGTAGAGAGTAATATCTGTAATAGGGTTAGCCATTGACTTGTAAAGTTTTTTGTTTTTTTTTTTTAGTTGGAGTCTCACTTGGTTGCCCAGGCTGGAGTACAGTGGCACACTCAATGCTACCCCAGCGTTGACCTGCTGGGCTCCAGTGATCCTTCCACCTTAGCCTTCCAAGTAACCGGAACTAGAGGCACGCACTACCATGCCCAGCTAATTTTTGATTTATTGTAACGACAAAGGTCTCGCCAAGTTGCCGGGCTGGTCTCAAATCCGCGGGCTCAGGCAATCCACTGGCCTCAGCCTCCCAAAATGTTGGGACTACAGGCTGAGCCATTAAGCCTGGCCTAAAGTTTCTAAATTGCAATTTGAAAAGACTTCTGAAATGTGAGAACAGATGATGCTCTTAAACTAACCCATCATTTTATAGGTGAAAGAGATGTTCAGCAGAAGGTGTTGGAATTGAGTAAGGAACATAGGTCTCCCCATTCTGGGTCTATGTATTCATTGTCTGTCTACCACAAAATAACAAGCAAAGTTTCATCCTTCCTTTCCTACATCCTGTCCTGGCTACTTTCTACTTCTTTGCTGGCCCACACCAGTCCAAGAACTCTCTCTGGCTCCTATGTTGGG